GGCTTGATTTGTTCAATGATCCATTGGTTTGTTTTCTTGGCTGTCTACGATATCCTCTGGAGTCTTCTCCACCACCAAATTTCAAAAGCATCAATACTCTTCCTATCTTGCTTCTTTAAAGTCCAACTTTCAGTTCCATAGGAGCTGAACACAGGAAATACCATTGCACTATACTGATCTTTGCAGGTATAGACACATTTGAATATTTTTTCCAAGGCCTTCATGGCTGCTCCAGCGAGTGCTAGTCTGCAGTGTATTTCTTGACTGCTTGTCCCTTTACTGTTGATGGCTGATCCTAAAAGGTAGAAGCAATCCACCACATTGTCATTTGTAAGGCTGGTTGTTCTACCAGTTGTCATTAATTTGGTCTTCTTTAATTTTAGTCCCACTTTTTCACTGTGCTCTTTGACTTTTAGTACTAGGGCTTGCAGATCGTTTGCATCATCATCATCATCCATCATCATCATCAATATGAAAAATTATATAGGCCCCAGTTCTTCCTTTTCTGAGGAAGAACTGTGGCTTTTCATAATAAAATACAAAATAAAATAGGATGCAGCTGATCTTGGCAGACCTCTAAAAGCTAAACATTTGGATAGGAAAACACTAGGAAATCTGTGTGTAGCCTAGAGTGGGAAATTAAATATTTTAGAAGGTGGCAATGGCAAACCACTTCTATGTTCTTGGCAAGAAAATTACATGGATGTATCAATATCCACCAGATGTCCAGCTTGATTTGAGGGAGACTATCTGTTTCCTGTAGTGGGTACTCATTACAAGTGAGACCATTGCAGAAATTCATCAGCTGAGAAGGGCATATTTTGCAAACGGAATTGGCAGATCCTGTTTTCTTGCTGTTGCTTCCCTCCAATATGATACAGAAATAGTGGAAAGAGTAGATAAGCTGTTGGTAAGTGTTCAAATGAGCATCAAACTCAATACAAATTTTAAAAAACCCTCAGGAAGGTTAAAACATTAAATCGAACAATAAAAGCTGCACATAACAAAAAGAAACATTCATTTTTTGCATTTCTATCCTGCCTCTTCTCTGACAGCCATTGATAGGATACATGAAGAGCTTCCTGTAATTTTATCCCCAGACAATAACCTGGTAAGGTGGTTGTGCAGAGATAGAGTGATTGCCCCAGAATGCCCACTGACTGAGGCAGTCAAATGGAAATTTGAACTTGGGTCTTCCTGATCCATGTTCAGCATCTTAACCGTTACACAACACTGGTTCAACAAGAAAAAAAAATGCATTTTTCTTTAAAAAATGAAGTATTAACAAAGAGTCTTCTATATCTTTTCTATCCATTCTGATTCAATTTGGTGATAATAATTTGTTTTACAAATTAATTCAAACTAGAAGAAAATTTTGAAGAAACTTGCATGGTCGAGGGATGGTGTTTTAACACTTACCCAGAATGGCCCAGCGGTATCTATGAATGTTCAATCTTTCATTAAACAATTCTTTCTCCAGTGATCTGCAGTCTGTCTGGTTTCCTGAACTTCCTTAATCATGAGGGAACTCTCCACAAGGGGCTTTTTCTGGAGTGATGCTGTATTTCTACTAACAGAAAGTTCTGCCCTTTGAGAAATTGCTAAGGTCAAAAAAGACCAAAATGTTGACGACATAAAAACTTTCTGGGGAAGGCATTTCCTAATGGGACACTATAATTGAAAAGGCCTTAGACAATCATTTAGAGAGGAAATGTGACCTGTCCTGAAGCAGAACTATGTATATATTTGGGCTACAAGAAGATTTGATTCAGAGTGTCAATTCAAATGTGACGTGAACAAAACTTTGAATTAATAGCTTTCTAAATTGGCTTATTATTTGGATCCAGTGATCAAATTGAATTGGCTTCTTCTAAATCAATCAAACCATTTATTGGCCTTATCAAAATGCACAGAGAATGGGGTTTTTTTGGGGGGGGGGAGATTCATATTGAATCAATGATTCAATCTAGATTACATGGACTGATGATTCCACTCAGATTTGTTGCACTGTGCACATTCATAGCAAATCTATAATGTGATTTTGTTCATCACCTGATTTGCTATCTTAAAGTCATTCTATCCTATTTTCAGATTAAAAAAATAAAATGATTTGAAGTAACATTTGCATATGGATCATATAGTTCATGTGCACTTATCCCATTACATGCAGTTTTGCACACACTTTTCCCAGTGTACACATTTTGTAAAGCCTTTTTACTTAAATTTCACCCATTGAATATTTGTCCTCTTTCTGAAGTTGTAGTTGTTGCTTGCTTCTTGGAACAATTGGAAACTGACACCTAGTAAACTGTATCCATTCAAGGAAAGCCTACGCAATCCATGTTAAAAGCAAAACCCCAAGTGACTCAGGCTTTGGGTTAATATGAGCATGTTGGCAATGCACCATCTCTCTCAGCAGTACTACAGACCTTATTAATGCTATGGGTGGGTCCTTGCATAGACAGGTGGAATTACACAGCAATGTTGCTTGCCCTTCCAATTGCTTAACTGTGATCCTCCAAATGAGTTTCTCTCTCATGATTGGCCTGCTTTAATAACCCTCTTTTGACCTGTTATTTTGTTTGCCCAACTGAGCAGGTGCCATCAAAATGTAAGCCTACAGAAGTGAATAGAGACACCGGGTTGCTTTATCTACCTGATTTATTCCCTTTGTGTGGAATTACATGACCTCCTACAAGGCTACAGGATCTCTCTTCATGTCCCTAGCATTCTTGCTTTACTGCCGGTCAGAGTGGGGCAAGAAATTGCAGGACATTCAGAAAGGCAGCATTGATTACACCCAGAAAATAAAGGCTGAAACTCCCCTATCATTGTTTGGCAAAACGTGTAGCATCTTAGAGAGAAGAGACTCTGAAAGAACATCCTTTAAGTCAGACTAAGACATAAAACATTTGTTTATACTGATTAAATTTTGAGCCTATCTTATTACGTTAACAGCTATAGGATCCAGCTGAATTTTTTTTTTTTTTTAAATCATATCAACCAAGCGATACTGAAATAAGAGCATCGGTGAATCACACTGGAAATGTCTTCATCAGCCTCTGATTTGGCATAGGATCATGTATATTCCTTTATTCTACATCTTTCCCCTGAAGAGATGTGGAAT